CACTGCGTCATGGATAATGTATCTAGGCTTAAGAATGACATATCTACGTTCAAGGTTAAAGACACAAATTGTCCGCTCTCTGGTGATTAGTGACAGACAATTGACAATTCTATTTCTAATTCTATGGTAAATGGTGATTGGTGATTTTGATTCGATAATGTGAAGAAATGGAAGATTTGTTTTTAAACCAATTTTGATTTTTAAATATGATTTTGTTTTGATGGAAGAATAGAATATTTGTATGACTAATATTAATACATTTTAATTTATTGGGCCAACATGGGTACTAGAAAACGAAGTGGTTCCGGATCTAAAAGACAATTTAAAGAAAAAGTTGTGCAAATATATGAGTGTTTATTAAAAGGAGAAGATGTTTCTCAAAATGAGCTCTTTTGGGACGAATTCTTTCTTCTCAAACCTAAAGTTACTAATATCGAGAACGAAATCCAAAAGATGTCTGTAGAGCAACTACAAACTGCGAAGCAAAATATCAATTTGCTATATAGTCACTGCATAGAAGTTTTAGATCAGCAACATAACATTAGAGTTGCTTACGGTTTATTAACATTATGTGCTCTTTTGCATGCAATTTTTAAGAAAGCGTTAGACACTCAGATAGATGTAATTGAATTTCTTACAGGGTTTGATAACTTGGAAACAAATACACAGAAACTGCTTAATATCTGTCAGACTTACTTAGAAGGTATGAATTTTAAATAGATGAAGTGAATATGTTGTATTTATATCATTTTTCACTTAATTAGGTTAATATATATTACTGTAGATTCTACAATTCTCGTAAAGTAGGAAGTAGGGCCTTATTTATCAAGTTAATGCTACATTAATTAAACAATTCAATTTATTCATATAACAAGATACTTTTTTGTTTAGGTGAATCTACAGATACAGTTAAAGGATTATGTTTAAAAGTAATCCTTTTACTCACAACTGGAATAGAAGCCATTAATCAGAATACCTTAATAGAATATATCATGCTGTCTCCTCTATTCGACTGCTTAGTGAAACTGTTGTGTGATGTTCCAACTAGACAGAGACATGGTTATGATGTTGTATTAATTATAACTTTGTTAGTAAATTACCGAAAATATGATGCAACAAATCCATATGTAGTAAAATTGTCCATTTTAGACGATGAGATAGCTCTGAATGGGTATGGACAAGTAATAACCTCGTCACTATCAGAATTCTGTAATCAATATAATAATGATCATGCCGAAAATCAAAATGCATCATGGTTTTCGTCTTTAACTAACATTGTTGGAAATATGTTTATATCTGAAGAAGGTGGTTTTAGAATGCAACAAGTTCGAGCAAACAATGCTCTACTCTTAGCGTTCTACGAAGCAATTCATTTGAATAGAAATTTTATTACAACCCTAGCTCAGACTCAGACTGACGCCAGTTCACCACCATCGCCAAATAATACTTTAAATAATATGCAGGGTATACCCGATTTATCAGCCGTATCAGCTACATTCGATGTTACCACACAACCTTCAAATTTATTGGTCACTTTTTTCCAGTACTGGTAAGTTAGAGGTATATTGATAAAATCTTACTTGAATCTAAATAAAATTTGTAATTGTATAAATGGTATCGTTTATTCCTCAGTAATGACGCTTGAAGAAATTTTTATTGAACTTAAATTTTCAATATTTACACAAAGCAAAAGATAAGTTCTTTTGCAAAATTTTAAATATTCTCTAGGGTGCTCCAGCTAAAAAATTGAATATCTATTGTAATAAAACTATAGTCTCGGCCTTTTTGGTCAGTTTGTGTTTTGATTTACAATCATTAGCTCTGTTATTAGAAATAATTTAAAGCTCTTATTTATTGTAAAAAAAATCGTAGAGTATGACTCATTAATGTGAAGCCGTTATTAAAATTTTGATTTTCTCCTCGTCACAATTTTATGATTATTATTGCCTTAATATTGTATAATTTAACTGTGTATCTCAATTAATAACGGGTAATAAGGTGAATCAAAAAGCAATTTGTACAAAAAAGATGGGACGACTGTTTGAAACAGACTCTGGCGCACCCTACAGGGTGTTTCATATTTTGGCAAAAAGATTCGTTGTTGCACCTTTTATAAATATGTGTTGAAAACCGAAATTTCACTAAAAGTGTCTACTGATAAATCTATAATAAAAAAAATATTTTGTCAAAATTAGATTAGTCAGTTGCAAGAAAATTTATTTTGAAATTCGGATTTACTTTTATTTAATTAATTTGATGAGAAGTGTAGTATTTCAATATATAATAAGATTAAGATAATAGTAATTCAATATCAGTTTGAAATAGATCACGTTGTTGCAGCTCGATAGTAATGCAAGATACAAAAACTGAGGCCGGTACAAACACTGTTAAATTATGTTTTCTCATTCTTGGATGTATCACTGAGGATCAGTATGCTAATTCACTCATGCATGATGTTAGTTTAGCATTTAAAGTACGTTTGCACAGATTGCCTATGAGGCATAGAAAATTGTCGTCAGATAGAACTACATCATCTCAACCTCTAGTTAGTACATTATTGGGTAAGACTGTTTTTTAAGTTTTATTTTATATGCACAGCTAACTTTTTTGTCATGCTTGAATTAATGTTTTTTTTAAGATGTTAGTTAGAAAATGGAATGTTGGTCACAGTAAATAAATTTTATGTTTTCCAGATTTACTGGTGGAATTTATTTTGAGCCATATGATGAAGAAATTTCCCATGGAGCTCTACATTCTTTGTGCGGGAATTATTCAGAGGATATTGTGTTATCAAAAGAAGTGTAGAATTAGATTAAATTATGTGTGGAAAGAACTTTGGACTGCATTAATATCTTTGCTGAGGTTTATTTTACAAAACGAAAATTATTTAGGGAAGAAAATGAATATTTTCGATCTGTCGATCAAAGTTGTAAATATATTAAATTTTTTTATTACTTACGGTGATAACTTTTTGCCAACACCTGGTAGCTATGATGAATTGTATTATGAAGTTATACGAATGCATCAAGTTTTCGATAATATATATTTAATGGGTAAGTAATATGTTTAATATATATATTTATTTTGCTTGTATGTAACTATACATACGAAGTGTGTCCCAAAAGTATTCGACCTACGTTCCTAACTCCACCCCAGAAAGTTCGAGTGACCTCTGTGGGGTGCGAGTTTAACCAGTGACTTCTCATGAACTCACCGGCTGCCACAGATACCAACATTTGCGGTGCCTTTTTTGTATTCTTCGGAATTTGTAATTGCTTAAAAACGAATAAGCATCAATTTTTGCTTTAAATTCCAAAAGAGTTCTGTGGAAACTATTGGAATGATACAGAAAGCTTTTGGGGATGAGTGTATGGGCAAAACACAGAAAAAAGCGTTTTAAAAATGGTGGCACATATATTGACAGTTACCTGTGTTTTGGCCAATCAGCGAGTACAGTAACACTAGAAAATATAGAGCGTGTGCGACTCGCGATTGAAAAAGATCGTCATTTGATTGTGCAGGAACTAGAAAGTGATCTTGGAATTTCGAAAATTTATGTCTCGATAATTCTAACTGAGAATGACTCGCATATGTGTGAAATTCATTCCAAAATTGCTCCCGGTAGAACAAAAAAAGGTCCACTTTGAAATTACTCAAGACAATTTGAAAATGGTGGCTAATGATAAAAATGTGCTTAAAAAGTCCATTGCCGGTAACGAATCATGGGTTTACGGTTATGATCTCAAAATAAAACCACAGTCTTCACAGTGGAAGCTTTTATCCAAGCCATGACTGAAAAAAGCATGTCAGTCAGAGGAATGTCAAGTCCATGTTGATTGTTTTCTTTCATTGTGGTGTTGTGCACCATGAAGATGCTCCAAGAGGTTAGACAATCAACAAAGAATTTTACTTCTAAGTTCTGGAAAGATTCTGTGACCCAATGAGAAGAAAACGGAATGCGATGAGTGTATTGAAGACCATTGTGAAAACTGACTTAAAATTGCTTCAGGATGTAGAAGCACCAATAGCAGCATTCAGTCGAATGGGGATTAATTTGAAGGTTGCTACAAGCCGGATGATGAAGAATAATGCCAGTTATGAAAACGCAGGTCAGATACTTTTGTGACACTTTTCGTATAAGCCTTAACATACATCTTATATCAGTCATATAATTTTTTGTAGGATTGCGATATTCAATGGGAGATGGCGATTTCAAAGAAGACGCTCTGAAATTAAATAACGCATTATTCAATGTGAGAGCAATAATAAAACATTTCAATCCAAAGATAGAACAGTGGCTAGTCTCTGCCAATCTGTCAACACCGACTGAGGAACAAATATTAGATATAGTTAAGAAAAATTATGATAGTCTGACCCTAAAACTACAAGACTTCTTGGACCACTACGAGCGTTACACAGAGAAACCACATTACACCCCATTCTTTTCCAACATGGTGAAAACTATTTTATGTGATACGAGAAATAATATTAGTTGCTCATTGTTAACTTTTACAAATATCAGCAGTGAATATCCTATTTTATAATATTTTGAAAATATTGTATACCTTAAGACTTGTTAACCAACCATTCTTTTCTATTATTTGAATTAGATATTTTTAATTTGTCTAAAAATATATTGATATCGTCCGAAGTTATTTATTTGCTTCTGTTCATTTGGGTTTTGCCACCTGTGAAAGAAACTGAAAAATGTAATGAAATTTTATGTGAAAAGGATGAAACTATTTGTTTAACCAAAAATCTCATTGTCAGCTTTTTTCAGAGAACTTTTGGTTAAGCAAAAATAGCCATAAAAACAATTTGACAACTCCTTTTGGCACAAGGGTTTATTTAATTTTTAAATTTATTTCCACAAATGGCAAAATACAGAAATATATATATAAACAACTAAAAGTATGTTGTGTATTATTAAAGTGCGCCATATATGGACCGGTGCTATAATATGGACCGCTAGTGTATCTCAAAGAACGTTAATTGTATTGAGTCGAAGGTTCGCGCATACTAAGTCTCCCCTCCAACAACCCGCCAGTCGCTTGCTGTGAGGTAGTCTGTACGCACATATTCACAGAAGCCATTTTTCATCTTCGTCAACTCGCCATGTAATTTTTTAGATAAATATGTAAGCTCATCACATCAACAAATATTAGTCGATGTGAAAGTGGATTAAACCAAGTAAAAGGTAAGTTGTTTTACAATTATTGATATTAAATTGTTAACATCCTATAGTTATTACAATTTTTTGAATAAAAACATTAACCTCGAACTCTGTGAGTATTGCAATATGGACCATCCTCATGTTTTAAATATGGACTATTACAAACAGTCACTTATGTTTCAGGATGGCATCTACAGCAAAAGAGAAGACCAGACAAGCGTAGGACAAATATGCAATTGCAGATGCAATTAAAGCTGTACAAGACAAGGAAATGGCCTTTTTGAAGGCATCCAAAACATACGGTGTACTTAAAACTACACTTTTACGTTTATCAAAAATAGAACACCAATCAGTTAGTGACATTACTAACCATTAACTTGGGAGAAAATCGATGTTACCAAGTGAGTTGGAAGGTGAATTAGCTGATTATATTCTTGAAATGGATTTGGTCTAACACACAGGGACATAAGATCTTTGGCTTACCAGCTAGTGGAAAGAAATAACATAAAGCACTCGTATTCACAAGAAAATGAATCTGCTGGCAGAACTTGGTTGAAGTTATCCCTCAAGCGCCATCCTAACCTATCATTTTGCCGTGCAACGGGCACATCATTTGCAAGAATGAAAGGTTTTAATAGAATAAATGTAAACGCATTTTTTGACTTGTTGGAAAGCTCTATGAATGAATTCAAGTATCCTGCAACCAATGTTTATAATGTGGATGAAACCGAAATTTCAGTTGTGCCATCAAAAATGCCGGAGATATTGGCACTTAAGGGCAAAAAACAAATAGGAACTGTAACGTCTGCAGAGCATGGAAACAGTTACTTGTGTGATATGTATGAATGCAGCTGGTACATTTGTCCCGCCATTGATGATATTCCCAAGAAAACGGGACAATCCATCAGGTTGAATACAACTTGAACTATTTACTCAATGGTTCGAGCACTTTTTACAGCACGTGAAACCAACTGCTGCATCGCCGGTTCTCCTGATTTTGGATGGACATGCTAGCCACACTCGAAATATCAAGGTAGTGGATTTAGCTAGAGAAAACCACGTTCGCTTGCTGTCACTGCCTCCACACTCAAGTCATAAAATACAGCCCCTTGATAAAACATTTATGGGTCCATTGAAAAAATACTTGACTGAAGAAACTCGCAAACGGGTACGAATGCACACTCAAGCATTGACACATTATGACATAGCGGAATTATTTGGTCTAGCCTACTTAAGAGCTCAGCGAGCAGAACTAGCCATTAACGGTTTTCGTGCAACTGAGTTATATCCCGTTAACAGAAATATCTTTCAAGATGATGACTTTATTGACAAAGACCTTCCAGCAGTAGAAGAATCTTCTAATGACTTACCGCGCGGTATAATGACACCAGTCAATGATAATCACGATAAATGCTTACCTAAGGCAAGAACTGTTGAAGCTCCGGAACATCAATCCGTAAATGAACCTTTTTCTACTCCGAAAGTTGACAGAAATTACCATGCAAACATACAAACCAAAACCACTATGGAGGATTCATTAGCTGGCCCCTCCACATCCTCTACATATTTGTCGCCAAAGGTGTTGCAACCCATACCACGTTTGAAGAAAACCGTTAGCAACAGAGGAAGAAAGGCCACCAAATCTATGATTTTGACATCTTCACCTTATAAGCAAGATTTAGAAGAATCCGTGAAAAGGAAGGAATAGATAAATTAAAGAAGAAATCGTTAAATATAAAAAATGAATTAAAGAAAATGCCAAAGAAAATAGCCCAGAAGAAAAGAAAGATCTCAAAAAATAGAGAATCTCCTGAAAGTTCTAGTGAGAGTAATTATTCAATCAATGATAGCACAGATGAAAGTCCCGATCGTTCCCAAAATGAAAATAGTAAAATGCTTGTATTGTAATGGGCTTTTCTCTGAAGATATTCATGGAGAGAAATGGATCCAATGTGCACCTTGTAGGCAATGGGCTCATGAAGAGTGTGCTGGTATAGAAGGAATGGCTGCCTTTGTGTGCGAATTATGTACCAATGATTAATTTAAGCACTAATAATTGACTGTAATTCAAAAATTTTTGGATATATGTGAATTAGCCTAAATCTGCCTATTTTGAGTCCACGAATCTGTGGTCTTTCGTTGCACACATTATTCTGGGACACCCTGTGTAATAACTGAAAACGCCATTCCTAATAACTAAACATTCTGTTACATCCTGATCGAAAATTTTCCCACAAGTGGCAGTTGAGTAAGCACTAGGAGCTAAATCAAGATCAGCGCAAATTTGAATTAAAATTTCCATATACTACTTGGAAATTTTGTTTGCTACTGAATAAATTCCTTCTCCCCTTAATTACAGTTGATAGTCATCATTATTAGAATATGATTAATAACACTTGTACTCACTATGAAATTTAAAGTGGTGAACAAAAATAAATTTTAGAGGCATTTTTTTTATTCTGAAGAAAGTGGTCTAAAATTATAAAAACTTGTTAGCAATGAAGCTTCATCTCAACATTTTTTTTTTTAAGTAAATTGTAATTTTCTTTAAATGGCATATACTTTCATGTTTCAATTTTTTTTACTAGGACTGAATTAAATTTGAGAGATTTACAATAGATGACGTAACTTAAGCCATATCGCATTGGACTCTTCTGTAACTATATGTCAAAGCTCTGAGAGCTCGAACATGAAGAATTGGAAACAATACTCGACCAAGATTCATGTCAAACGTTGTCGAATCATTGAATTTTGATCACACAACAGTTTCCAAATGTCCAAATGCACTCGGTATGATTCAAAAGGAAGCATTCTGAGTGCCATACGAATTGAAGCCGAGAAATGTTGAAAACATGATTTTTCACGTGCAAACAATTATTTCAACGGCAAAAATGAAAGGGTGTTTTGCCTTGTATCGTCACTGGTGATGAAAAATGTATACGCTATGATAATCTTAAACAGACAATCGTGAGGTTTGTCTGGTCATGCATCAACATCGATGGCAAGACCAAATATTTATGGTTCAAAGCTCACGCTATATATTTGATGGAGCCAGCTTGGTGTTGTATACTATGAGCTGCTTTAACCGAATCACTGGTGAGCGCTATGGAACACCATTGATGCGTTTGACAGTGCATTGAAGGAAAACTGGTCACATTTCGAGCACAGGGGCGATATAATAATTTTTCATGATGATTCGATAATCCCTTCTGTGCATATTTAATATATGAGATATATTTATTATACCATTTATCCTTAATAGCAGATAAATAAAACTTAAGAAATAAAAATATGTAATAGTGATCTATTTTTGGAAAACCCGTTGATATAATTAGGAGGTAATAAATGTAAAGAAAATAACTATTTTCAAATTTATTACATGTATATATATATTTTACAAAAATTTTTCCAAATGTAACAATATTAATGAATGGGATGAAAGTTTACAACCTCAAACACTGCATCACATACACATTAAGCCCACCTTATATAAATTTAAAAAACATCACTGAAACAAAAAAAAAATATATAAGAAACTATTTGAAATATAATGAACTGAGAGTTTAAAAAAATGTTTTTGAAATTTTAACCACTTGCGGAACTGAGTGAGGCTGAGATTATAACCCACTTTGCTTTGTATCTACTGACAAAGCGCGATCTACTAATCTGTAAGTATCTTGAACGCATGACTAGTGCCACACTAAGCGAATAGACTGCTTTCCAACTTATCAATTTTCATCATTAGCCTGGATCCACATGCATGTGTGATCACAGATATCCGTATCCGTGATATGCATATGTGTGGTCCATCCACATACAAAGTTGAAATTAACCAACTGGATGCACAATTGGATGTTGATGTTCACGTGATTTCAATAGATCCGTAATCATGCATGCATGTGGATTCAGTTTTATGCTGTAGGTGAGACGACCGACAAATGATCTAAATATAACGTACTTTGTAGATGACCCACACTCAGAACATGTTGGTAGGTAGATATCCAAATAGTTAGATCATTTGTCAGTCATTTTGTTTATGTCATGCTGATGAGAACTAATAAGTTTGAAATCCATCTAAGTCTGGTGATTCTACTAAAGAATGATCTTAACGTTTACTAGATATTGTAGGGTGTAATTCAACGTTGGACAGGGCTTTACTCAGTCCAGTAGTTATTTTCCACAATCATTAGTTAACCTTACAGTATTGATTAATAATAATAATAATAATAATAATAATAATATCTCTACTCCTCATTCTAACTACGAGAATTAGCCCAGAAGTCAGAGACTTGTGAGGGAGAGGAGGCGGCATATTATTATTAAGCAGGCCGCATTTGCGCCCAGGAACGACTTATGTTGGTAGGCCCTAACCACCATTCAGTGCAGGAATGAGGGAAACCTGGAAAACCTCATTAATTAGGGGGGTGGTCAAATGCCAACCGGTGTCAATCTATCACATTGACTCAAGCCAACATTCTTCCACCCTACTATACCTGCACAGAGGGTGCCAATCCTCCGTACAAGCATAGCTAATCTACGGTCTACCGGCCGCAGAATTCGAAACCCGGGCAGATAGCACACATCGATTCAAGTACTGACGCCTTAAACTTTCTATTACCTGAATGTCTGACTATATAACACAGAAATGACCATCATGCATCTCATGCATAGCTGTGTGAATGATTGAGCATGGCATTTTTACGTTGAGGTATTTCGGATAAAATTTTTCTACATCGTTGACCCGTGTCTTAGTAGTATTAGTATGTTTAGAAATCATAATGAAGATGCTGGCAAACGCAGATTAGTTTCTACTCTCACAGCAGATCCAAATGTGTTATAAAAAAAAGAAAACCCAGAAAATTGTCTGCAGAATTTCTGCAGAAATATATATCTGCCAGCCTCCAATTTGGGGAATCTTATACGAAGAGTAGGTGTATGCTTACCATACAATGCGTGCAAGCTCTTACTGCTCCTGATTATGTTGTATTAAGTGTGTTCTGCTGACTGATACTGATACAAAATAGGTAGAACATACAAACATTATTGCTAATATTTTATAGTTTGGTTAGGGGTAAATTAGCATCCTTTTTAAAATTCAGTATCATTTATTTATTTTCTTTCCCATTAATTTTGGCTTTTCGCTATCGTCAGGGATAAATACTTCATGTAACTACTAATTACATAAAATTTTGTAAATATGTACGAAAATATCAATATACAAGTTATTTTATTGGATTAGTGTCGTATATTAGAAGAATGTCGAATCATATCAGTACTTCTGCCTAATTGTTGAACTAGTGAAATACACTCTTTTTTAAAAAAAAATACATTATCAGCATTGTTGAAAGGTTGCACTTATGGCTTACATATAACGGAACTCCTACCCACTTTTCACTTGATCTATCAAGGATATTAGCAAGGTTTACCTATTTTCTAATAAGATACATTTATTATAGAATAAGATAATCCAATTTGTCGTCACTAAAATAGAAAATTGACCATCTTTGGAACAATTGAGTTGCAGACTTTTTTGTTTCTATAAGTGCTAAGATATTTTACAGCATTTTTTAAAACACTATAATTTAGCAAAAATTACTTTTTAATTCAATTAAATCTATGTTCTTACATTTACAATAAGTGTCTTAAAAACCATCTTTTAAAAATATTAAATTACTCTAGTGTTTATATCCACCACAAATTTAGAAAAAATCTAACAGCAATTGCGACTTATTTGTAATTTTGCACTGTGTACACAGAAAATATTTTCAGCCTTTATTATTAGAATATATTATGAAGATATACTCAGTAGAGCAGGGCTAAACCATTCCTTTCAATAATTTGAATCACCAATACCTATTCCCTTATCGAAGTCGATTCCTTCAACTCATTCATGATTCCAATGCCAGTGCTGTGATATGGGAGGTGCTAAATACGCACCCAATATGGTCATTCCATTCCCGGAATGGTACAAAAACCATCGACTCAATTATTGTATTTATTTTGTACAAAATCAGTAGGCATTTTTTAAAAATTTATTTTAAGAAAAATGCATTGTAAATTTGAAATTTCGTCTTTGTTTTGAGACATAATTATTGAGCGTAATGCGCCTATTCTTTATTTATAAAACCTTCAAAATCATGCAATATTAAAATCGGTATCGAGCGAGTGGATCAAAATTGTTTTTTGTAATTTTCCCGCAAATCGTTATACTCGGAATCACAATTTGGAATCGTAAAAATTAACACCATAGGAATTGATTCCTTTGATTAACATTCTGGCATGATTCCTTCAGACTCTAGTACGCACTGAATAAAAAAGTACAAAATGTCTAAAATGCTGTTTAGCAACAAATTTGGAGTGTAATAAATAATTTGCCTTACCACATAAAGTAAAAAATGTACTATCTTCTCATTTGACCATTGTGTCTACGTAGTACTTGAAACACAGTATCTTTTAATGTTTGGGGTTTGCAGTACTCTTCCAGCCAACCAAAAACTCCAGCAGAAAGCTCAGAGAAGTTATTTACAGATACCACACTAAAAGTTTGGAAAAGTTGATCCATGATGGCTTGAAACTGAAAAAGATAAAAAAATATATATATAAAATGATGATCTGGGTGCTGAATCTTATCCCTTTTCAAGTATTTATGTTGTATTATACCACCATTATTTTTAAAGTAACTTCTTTGGCAAAAAAACAATTTATTAAACTTAATATTTTATTGAAAAAAGCATAAAAATTGAGATATTGCAAAAGAGCTGGTAGTCAATTTTAGTTACCTATACAAAATTTCGATAAGGGACCACAGTAGCCTAACAGATCGAAATTTTTTAAGGACTGTTTCTAATAGTTCGCATTGGAGAAACCCAACAAGTGGAAAGACTCATCCATTTTAAAATTAAGAAATTTAAGGAATTTTATATGAATTATATGATACCAAATAGGGTCACTATTTTCAAATTTGATTGGAACAAAGGAATAGTATATAGTCGTTCGCTTATTTATTTGAAAAAATTTCTGATGTTTCTGATTATGAAGATATAAGACACAGATATTATTTCTTCAATGTGTGAATTGAAGTACAGAGGCCTCATAAATGGTTACAAGCCACCTGACCAATAATTTTGTTTGTAACAGTAATTTTATTTCTCACGTTAATTAAATTTCGGTAAAATTAAAACAATAAGATCAAAAGTACATTAAAACACAACATCCTGTTTCGCCGGCTGGTGATTTTTTTAAAGAGATTTTATTCAAACAATCAGCGATTGCATTATCAAGAGCGTTTTCAACCGGTTTCACATTGTACATTGTAAACGAATCATTAATATTGGTAATGTTGATTTAGGGATTTTTAATTAACAGTACCAGCTGTGAAATGTTGGTTGCCTAAGCTCAGCAGTCAAATGACATGTATTCATTTGCAAAGGCTATGTACAATTTATCAAAAACATGCAGACTATGAAAAGTATTAAGTTGAATTAGGATAATTATAATTAACAACTTACCACTGAAAATTTGACTTCATCTGATATTCGAGTTTCTGTTTGACCTGGTTGGGTTTGTTGAGCCTTAACAATTTGTTCATAATTAGTTTGCATTATTCTTAGAGCAACAACTTCTTTTCTCAGTGCATTCCTTTCTTCTTCTTGCTTCTTTTTTTGTTGTTGTAGGTACTGGATATAGTCAATGGACTTTTGAAGTACAGTTGCCTTACTGAGTTTGTAACCTAGTAAAAATGATCTTGAAAGAAGTACTTATTGTATTTAATAAAGATGTAATCAACTCTGTTTTAGTGGCTACAAATGCTACAAAAATGTATTGTAGCAGTCTATATTTCAGTATTTATATGTATAAACTTTCTCTTAATACTTTTTAATTAATATAAAAATACCAGAAACATCAGTTTGTTGACAAGTTGGTACCAACTCCTGTAAAGTATCGTATCCTTTTTTTATTGCATCTCTGCGTTTTTGTTCGGCCTGAGTATGTGCTTCACGACGACGCTCTTTGTAACTCATTGGAGATGACTTGCTTTCCAAGTCATCTTCCTCATCTTAAATCAAATATTTAAATTAATTATAAATAAGACATATGGTATTATACTTACCAGAATTGTTTACTAACGAATTACTTGAATATTTTATATGTTCTCGGGGCATTTCTCACTTTTTTTGTATAAAATTATTAACGCATTATGTCATATTTATGTTTATCACTTACTTCTAACAGATAAATTATGTTTAATTAATTCACGCATCGCAAATATATTTCTGATAATGATAACGTAATCACACAACAAATAAATATATTTAAGTAAACAAATTGCAAATCAAACGTAAATGGACAGTGAGTGCTGTCAGCTGCTGTTGCTGTCAAATACAACGAGCAGTGTTGCCAGGCGACCCACTATGGTTCGTCCCCAACAGACTTAAAAAAAGTCCTCTTTTGAAGAAAAATACCCCTTTAAAAAATTATAATATTATTATCTCTTGCATATTATTCTGATAATATTAATGTTGCAATTTCCGATTATCTAAAAAAATAAAATATCTATAACATCATAATCG